AAGCGTAGGGTACACCTAAGGACTTTTACTGCAAGCTTAATTTTGGTTTCCTTACTGTAGGTTCAGTCAAGCTCTGTGTTAGAGTAGAACAGGCTCTTTCCTTGTGCACAATCCAGCAGTTTGTGCATTTGTGCCCTGTAGTTGAGGCAGGAAGAGTATTGGTGAGGGAATCTCAGCTCATGGCACCGACTGGAGTGTACCCATTTGTGGCTATTGTCCTCTCCATGCCCTTCTTCATTGCAGTTCCTGCCCCAGCTTCACTGTTGGCATTCTCTTCCTCAGCTGGCATTCTCCAACAGCTTTTCCTGAGACTTCCGTTTCACTTCTGGTGCATGTATGTAGATTGTATTCTGCTTCCTGGCCTCGATCTGACGAGCCACATTTGCCGTGGTAAAAGCAGCCTGTTGAAAAAAGAGTATTTGGTAGTAGTTCAATTGTTGGACAAGATGCAGGGGAAGGCTCAGGATTCAGAGCTGTGTGCTTAAGCAGTCTGGGAAGGTTTGTAGCTTCCTGGATACCACGATGGCCAAATGTTTCTGGTTACATCCTAAGCGTTGCTGCAGGTTCTTGGAGAGTTGAGTTCCTTGCCCGGGTCCCAGGGCTCTTCTCCATTTACTGCTGACTAGACAGACATGTCTCAGACCTGTGGGTCAGCTTTTGTGCTGGGAAGTTGATCTCATAGCACAGTGGGAGACACTTTTTTTTTTTTTTATTAGACTGGGTTTTCTTTAGTAAAAGCTGGCTCACCCAGTCCAGCCTGACTAGAAACCACCTTGCTTTTCAGCACGGATGCTGACTGGTGCTTCTCTTTGCTAACGAGTCACCAAGAACCCACTGGCCGAATGCTGTAGTCCTCTTGCCTGGTATAGTGGTATTTCCTGTTCTTGTGCTTTGCTCCTGAGTGCTCTGAGGTTGTTCAGGGAACATGCAACTTCTGCCGTTGTGAGGTTGAGGTCTGTGTTTATCCCTCGCCTGTGGCTCTGCTCCAGAGTCGTCAGTGGCCATCTGCCTTAGCCTCCCTCAGGGCCTGGGGCTGGCCACAGTCCGAGGAGGGGCTGCAAAGGTGCATGTGCAAGCTGCTTACGGCAGAGGCACGAGTCAGCAGTGCTTAGTGCAGGCAGCTTTCTCACAGTGTAATGCATCACAACTTAAAATGTTTGTTCTCCTTTTTATTTAGGAAAATAGCTTTACTAGTGAGTCACGAAGCATTGCCAGCATTCCCATGCAAGACTGCTTATAAAGAGTAGGAGGATCGGCATTGTGGTGCACTCTGCAGTAATTCTCACACCCATCTGCCCTCACCTTTGAGGCTAAGGTTTCTGACACCTTAAGTTACACCATCAAAGAGGACAGGTTTAGTGCTGGTCTGGCAAGATCTTCACCTGTAGTCTTCAGCCAGGGTTCAATGGTGTTTAAGAGGTGTCTGGCTGGGTCTTCAAGAGCACAGCACTGTGTCTGTGCAGGGACATATTCCCTGCTGGAGAGTGATGGCAGTTTTGGGGACAGGATTTACTCCCCTTAATGGTTAGGAAAAACAGTTACCTTGTGTGTCTCCCTGAATTTTGTTTGGAAATGTGCTTTACTACAAGAAAACACATCTTATTGCTGCTCTTTATGCCCATCCTGCTAAAAAGTGTTTGAACAGTGAGGTTTGCAGTTCACATTTGGAGCTGATACACTGACAGGTGTCTAGACTTAAATATTGTAGAGCAAATTGTCTTCCAGTACAAGAGTCTTTTACTGGGAAGGATAATGAAATATGAGATGTGGTATGTCCTTGAGTAGTCATGGATAACTGCTCCTGAACCTCATCCCCCACATCTCCAGAGTCTGGCTCGATGGGAGATCTGTCTCACAGTCTGCCAGAAGAGGGGAGGCTAAACTGGCCTGAATGTTTTACTGCTGTTTGAGCTATAGTGGTGGTTTTGGAGGATACCAAAGGGTCTGCTTGGATGAACTGGTCTCCCTCAAGCTGTTTCTTGGACTGTGCTCTGCATTTTGTAGTTCAATTGGAAGGGCTCTGAATTTTATAAGCCAGCTAAAATAGTTGAACCCATGCCTTTGTTTAACAGACGAAGGATGAGTAATATTTAGGACTTCAAATAGTTTTCTGCTTTATATTTGTTTGAAACTGCTGGGATTCTTCTATCTTTACTTGTGGATAGTGTCCATGTTTAGTAATAACCCTTTACTTTGACTTAGTTTGATGAAAAACACTAAACTGTATCTGAGCTATAAAGTGTCTGTTTCTTAGGTCCTGTAGACATATTGCTCTTTAAAAATGTTGTTTCTGAAATGCTGCTTGCCACAAAGTATTTTTTCTCACGTTCATTTGTACATGGGAAACTGCCTGTATTGCTGTTTCTTTAGAGTGTGTGGATGAATGTGTGGAGCAGTAACTGGGTTTAGACTCTCTCCCCACTTCATGCCCAGCTCCTTCTCTTGTCTCACAGCCTCAGAATGTTTTGTTTCTGTGGCTGTCACTTCTTTCCAGGGTGCCTGCACATCCAAAACTTGTCATGTTGAGGTTTTTTTTGGTGGTGCTGGGGCCTTTGGCAGTGAGCCCAGGGCATTTGGTGGCTGCAGGGGCTTTCCCAGGAGCTCTGGATGACTGCAGTCATCTCACAGGTATCTCTAGGCCAGAGGACAAGGCTTGAGGGACTCGGCAGAGTGGGTGGCTGCTGTCCTCAGAATGATTCAGGTGGCATATGCTTCCTGTTGCTCACTTCTAGGAAAGAAGGCTGCTGAAAGTAGGATTCAGATCTCTTGCTTTGATGACCAAAATCTACCTGTAGCCTGCAGGTGAGGCATCTGTAACAGAACAGTCACTGTGGGCCTTGGGGATGTTTGTGATCTCCATCTGAAGTTAGTGAAGGGGTCTGCAGCTGATGAATTTGCTTGTAATGCCCCCCCGCTCCAAAGGATGGATAATAGTACTTCCTTCTGTCACTGGCAAAACGGAGACCCTGAGACACTTACAGTGAAAACTGAGACTTGTACCAGAGCTGGGAGTCAGGTGCATGTCTTCTGAGTATGGCAGTTACTGTTGTCACACTTGCAAATCTCTTATTTCTCTTGTCCCGTGAAGTTTAAACTACAGGAAGATGTGAAGTTAAACTTGTCCTCTGTATTGTTTGGAATAACTGAAAACTGCTTTAGTCACTGGCAAAATAAAAGAAACCGAGTCCAAGACGAAGCTACATCAGGAAGGGGAGACTTAAGTCTGACATTTGTCTGGAGTCTGTGAAGGGCTGGCCTGTTGCAGATGCTGGCACCTCGTTTATTCTGGGATATGAACTGCCTTAAACCCAACTAAAACATCTCTGACGGAAGCAAGCGTCTGCAACTGAAATTTCTTCTTGTTGATAAAGCAAATAAGCCAGAGGAGAGAAATCCCCAGCATGTTTTTGTTTGTGATACGACTTAGGCTTTGAGTGTAGGAGACAGACTTTGAGGGATACCTTGAATAGACTTTGATATCAGCTGCTACAGAGAGGGACCATCTGTAGGTTTTTTTCCCTCCTATTCCCTGGCCCCTGCCTTAAAAGCCAGCTAAATATTCACATTGTTCCCCTTACACTGAATGTGGTTGTGTGGTCGTGTAACCACAAAAGGAAATGTTTTCTGTCGGCTCAGTGAGATGATTCAACTCAAATGTACGTACACTGATACTATCCCAAAATCCAGTGCGAGGGAGTGAGCGGGAATGTGCGGATGGGGAGAGGGAAGCATTGTCCTGTTGCAGGGAGCTTTTGGGTTAGATTGGGTTAAACATGTTATGAAGATATCAGCCCTCCTTTTGAGTCTTGTGAGCTTCGTCTCTGACATGATTGAATTGGAGAGGAGGGAGCAGAGCCTGTGTTCGTCCAGAATTTCCCCCGGCCATGCAGTGTTGTGTAGCTGTGGAGACATCCCGTGGCCAGACGAGGAACAGCCTGAGCCGTGTCCCTAGTTCAGGCTTCCAGGATCCCTCAGTTCTTAAATTACTGCCCTTGGCTGTCGCTGTGCTAAGAAACTGGAAATTTGATGCATTCGGAAACTCGAGTCACCACATGGTTCTTGTACCAACATTTGGATAACTCATCACTGTAAGGAAATCCTGTGGCATTTTCCCCAGCGGTCTCAGGATCAGCTATGATCTAAGCTGGAAAGGGCAAATCATCTGGAGAGAATTTGGGCAGCTTTACTTTTCCATCATCCTATTGCTGTGCTGGGCACTCTGCAAACATTAAAAGAGCATCTGCTTCTCCAAAGCACTTGTAATCTCATTTGCACTTAGCAATATGTCTCGCCTACCTCTAGAGATCAGGGCCTTGTGCATGTAGGTGCTGTAACGTGTCAGGAAATAGTTGTTGTCCTGAGGGGCTTGGAGTAATGAAGGAGAGAATCTGAGAGGAATCCATTCAGTTCCAGCATACACACAGTGACAGAATGACTGTCCTACTCTGAGAGTCTTTCATGTCAGTGCTTGAAGGGAAGTGAGCAGTAAAGGAGGAATAGTGCAAGAGTGGGAGGTGAACAGGAATTATTTAGTTGTTTAGATGTTAAAAATGCAGATGCACAAGGAGTGAAACTCAGGTTCTGGAAATGTTTGTTCTGCCTGTGTCAGTCACCGTTAACTGATAGGCAGCTGTGGGCTTGGTTTTAATTGGGCTGCAGCTCACAGTTTGTGTTCCATTATCATATTGCCTTCCTGATAAAATGAACAAGGAAGGAAATAGTATTTGCTGAAGATGTGAAGCTCAGAATAGCCGTATCTCCTCCTTTCCCTGTCTGCTGTCAATCCTATTGGAGAAGCTCTGGATGGGACTGCCTCCGAATTAGCGTGTGTTTACCCGTAGGATTAAAAACATGGTGAGGAGCATGCTGGAACAAGCAGGATGTAAATAGAAAACAGAAGAGGAACAGATATGGATATAAATAAATACTAAAACCTTTTCCAAGCGAACAGGGAGCGAATGTAAAGGCTCCTTTAACAGGAATCTCTTTTGCTCTTTCAGATCACTGCAAGAAAGCAAAGTGCCAGGATTTTCCCCCTGTGGCTGCCTGACTGCTGCTGAGCTACCCCTCCCAGCCCATGTGGCTCTCCCCATGCTCCAAGAGTGCAACTGGTGCTCAACGCAATGTGTGTTTGTCAAACCATGGAAGTGGGCAAGTATGGCAAGAATGCCACTCGATCTGGAGACCGGGGGGTCCTGCTGGAGCCTTTCATCCACCAGGTGGGCGGCCACAGCAGCATGATGCGCTACGACGACCACACCGTCTGCAAGCCCCTCATCACCAGAGAGCAGCGCTTCTACGAGTCTCTGCCCCCAGAAATGAAGGAGTTCACACCCGAGTACAAAGGTGAGGCCTCTCGTCAGTCCACAACACAGTTACGTGCTTCAGGAACCTGCCCTTCCATTTTCCTGCAACTGCTGCTGCCGTGCTGTCTTTTGGTGTCATTTTATTTGTTGCTTATAACTCTCTTTCGCAGGCTAATAATTTGATAGGAGTGTTTGGAAAGGAGAGGAAGTATTTTGTTTTTTGTAGGCATGGAGTTAAATCCGTTCCTCTTTCAAGACAGAATGTGCAGTGTGACAGTTGTAGTCCACAGCTTAAGGTTATGGATGTGTAACTGAAGTAGTTTCATTACCAAGTTATTGTCAATTACAGCCTTGACCTTGAGCTAATGAAGTTAGATCATATACTGAGCATTTGCACATTCCAGTTGGGTAATTTATTGCTTCTTTATTCCATCTCTTTTATGGGCCTGTATCAGCAAGCTGCTAAAGCAGGAAATATGGCTTTCCCAGCGCTGAGGTGAAGCCTTGTCCCCAGCTGCTTTGAAGGAGTGGAATTTTCCAGTGCCCGTGCTGTTGTAGATTGGCAGCTCAGCTGTGTCTTTCGGAAGCTTGATACGCTTCCGGCCGCGTGTGTTCATGTTCAGGATGGTGATGTGGGCAGGTAGCCTTCTGGGGGGCTCAGCATTCCTGTTCCCTCTGCTTCTTTGTTTCCAAGTGGCACTGGGAAAGCGGTGCTTCACGGGCAGCTGGGACCACCATCTGCTCGGGAGCACTTTGGATCTGGCTGCAGCCTGACACTCTCAGAGCAGTGTCAGTTTACCTACCCGTGTCTGTGTGCAGGTCATGCATGAGGGATGCAGTCTCCAACAGATGGGTCCTCTTGTACCCTTTCAGCCACTCTGGGGCTGTGCAGTGCTCTGGTGTCCCATCAGGAATCCCACTGAAGCCTGTGTAGTTCCTAGAATCATGTCAGGCTTTCCTAGGGAATTGTGTTTAAAACCAGTGAAGCTGATAGTCCAGATGGAGATCTGTCTTTTTGAAGCCAGATACCTCCTGGTAGCCTAAAGGCATAGGATGTGCACCTCTACCCCGGTGTGGGATTTCATCTGGGGGTCCTGTGCAGTTTCCTGACAGTCTCAGAAATTGTTCCTACTGATCTAGGAGAGAGGAATATTGGGGTGATATTTGCTGTCTGAGCACTCGGATGTTACTGAAAGACTTCAGAGAGATATCTCGAGGAGCGTGTGCAGGCAGCCAGAGCACTTGAAGTGGCATTTATGTAGTGACATGCTGGAGTTCTGAGCTGCTCTGGAGTTGTGTTTGAGCCACCTGAACTTTGTTAAGCATTGTCATGTGCAGATTCGGAGAAAGGAAGTACACAATTGTCTGCATCAGCTGAGCAGGACGAGGTTTCCTCACATTTGTGATGAATCATTTGATTCAGTGGATCTCTCATTTGGTGCTCCTGGCAGCTATTCAATACTGGTGACAACCTAATGAAATATTTTGTCACTGCACATCAGGAGATGGGCCGATGGCCTAATTTTGGGGGCTGGAGGAGTCCCAGATATGAAGATGTCAGTCCTAACTGGAAGTGTCAGCTGTCCTGCTCTGTGGCTGACCAGATAGATATATTCTGAGTCTGTGCTGTGATAAATCCCTTGGACTGTGGTGCTTTCCAGGAGCCTTCAGAAGGTAGAACTGGACAGGACACACACAGTCCTGCTTGCCTGCACCTGGCTGAGGTAGTTACACTTGTATTGCTAGGGAGCCCTGGGACCTTGCAGATCCCTTTTCTGTGAGACTGGCTGACTTGTGATAAGAGTGGCAGGTGTCACCTTGGCCTTAAGGCTCTGTAGTTCATGGCTCTGATGCTGGAAAGCTCCTTTAGCAGAGAAAGCACAGTCCTGCTTGGCCACTGATGTCCCTGTCAACAGCAGGAATGCTTCTACAGGACATAGGTACTTAGCCAAAGAACTAGATACTTGCTTCATATGCTTCACTCCCATCAGCATCTTGACAGACTGTGCTTGACTCCCTCCAGTTTGACGACATTTGCTGCAAGACTGAAGGAAGGAAATAATCACACCCTCAGCCTACCAGCTGCACTTTTGTCCTTGTTTCCTGTGGTGGCAGAGTTTCCCCTGCTGCCGCCGACTGTTCGCTCAGGTAGTGGCGCAGAGAACTCTAAGGGGGTTTTTTCTCTGTGCTGTGCTAACAACAGTCGGGTTCCTGTACTCTTAAACCCCTTTTATTTACTCTGGGTTTGCTCTGCTGCTCTGTGAGCTACGTTTTCCTCCCTGCTGCTGAACATTTGGGTGCTAGTGGTTGTACATTCCCTCTGCCGAGAAACAGAACTGACACATCGCTTCTCCCTTGCAGGTGTGGTATCTGTCTGTTTTGAGGGAGACAGCGATGGCTACATTAACCTGGTGGCCTATCCCTACGTGGAGAACGAGGCTCTGGAGCAGGATGATATGCCAGAGAGGGACCAGCCCCGGCGCAAGCACTCGCGCCGGAGCCTTCACAGGTCAAGCAGCGGCACCGAGCACAAGGAGGAGAAGCCTGGCCTGGCCAGTGACAGCACTGAAAGGTAAAACTTTGAGGGCCCAGTGCCAGCAAGATGAGTGGGATATCTCTCTTCCTCACTCCTTTGGTTGAGGATGTTTTGCACTTCCATAGGGTGGCCAGGCTGTCACACACTTGCTAGCCCAGCACGTTGTGGCACTGCAAACTGTCAGGAGTTTTGCTGGGTTCAGGACCAGCTCGTCCACATGAAATGTTTCTGACACAGGAAACATTGTGTATGAGATGTGGCAGTGTATGAGATGTGGAACCAAAGCATGTGGAGCAGATTAAAACACTTCTCCAGAGGTTTCTTGCCAGGGTACTGTGAATATGAGTCTCTGCCTCCTCTCACCAGCCAGAGCTCCCTGAGAAACAAGTGTTCCTGTTCACTTGTATCAATTAGGGTACAGCCTAACAGAGTTGTTAGATAGACCAGATCTTTGAGTGTGGGTCCACAGCCCAGGATATTAGTGAGGATTTGCTCATAAGAAGGTTTGTGTTGTGTGCAGCAGAAGGAACAAACTTGTGGTTGTGTGCCAGGGGAGGATGTGACAGTCATAAGTACCTGGAGAACTCGTGGATTCTAACAGGCAAGTTTGTTCTGTCTTTACACCAGCAGCATCCAGGAATCGAAGAGTCCCAGGGTGGACTTGCACATCCACTCAGATGTTCCATTTCAGATGTTGGATGGGAACAGTGGTCTGAGCTCCGAGAAGATCAGCTATAACCCCTGGAGCCTGCGCTGCCACAAGCAGCAACTGAGCCGCATGAGGTCAGAGTCCAAGGACCGAAAGCTGTACAGTATCCTTTGGGAAGCACAGCTGGGTGTGTCAGATGGGCCTGAGGCAGCTCAGCCTGCATTTCCTTTGGCATTTCTGTCCTTCACAACCACACTTGAGTTACATGTTCTTTTTACTGTTCCTTCCTGCTTCTCGTTCTGTGACACTAATGAGTCATAGAATGGTTTGGATTGGAAGGAACCTCAAAGATCACCTCATTCCGCCCCCAGGCAGTCTGACTGGCTGCTTCGTATGGTTGAAGATGGGTTTTGGTGTTTTCTGTGCCTTCACAAATGATTCCTCCCGCTTTTCTGAACTTGCCAACTTGTGGGGTTATTTTGTTTCACCTGGCGGAGCTTGATTCTGTTTTCCTTGCATAGAAACAAACTTACTTTTAATAGCTAAGTATTCTTCATCATTTTAACTGCTGTGGGCTTCTGCAATTCTCAAGTGTGTGCTTCAGGCCTCCAGCTTTTATTTTTAAATAGCCTGCATCACTTGCAGAGAAATCATTCTCTCTGGCTGTCCTGCCCTTTTTAAGCAGACTTCCTGATTTTTTTGAAGTTCCTCTTTCAAAACCAAACACAGTTTCTCTCTTGCAGATTTAATCTAGCTGTGCTCTGGTTGCCATTTGAGGGTAACATGTTGACCTGTGCCCTGTGGGGCAAACTTTTGGGGTTCTTTTTCCTCCGTTTGGAATAAGCTGCTGCACAGAGTGCCTGGGGTGTGTTGTCAGCACTGTGCCCTGATGGGGGGGTTGCCCATTGTGTGCTGATGGCTGAGGGCTCCTGTTACTGCGCTGTTTCCTGTCTTTGTCACCTCCCCACTTCCCCCCACGGGTCAGGCAGTGTTGCTGTTCTGGACAGGCCAACCCTGCTGCTACTTGAGCCTTGAGTTTTCAGTCCATGGGGATTGTATTGTTTATCCATATGGCCAAATGGCTAATTTGATTAGACTTTAAGCTCTCTCCCGAGGGATCAGCAATTCCTGCTGGCATACCATGTCCTTCCTGACACCAGTGTTTTGCCCTGCTGGATTTCCAGTACGCCTGCATGTGACCTCCCTGCTTACTGTTGGCCTTCCACAGGGTGTTTTCTTCTACCAGTTGTCAGAGCCTGGGTGCCACTAGTTGGATGTTGAGTTTTTCCTCACCTCCCCAAACAGTTTGTCCCATCTGTTCTTGGGTTCCCATTTCTTTGTTGCCCAGCCCTATCTCCTGCTGGCCCATGTCCCTGTCTATGGTAGCCCTGGGGTGTCTCTGGTGGGTGAGCTCTCCTTGACATGCCTCCCAGAGTTCCTCTTGCTGGAGAACGTGGTGCATCATTTCAAGCTTCCCTGCGTGCTTGATCTGAAGATGGGGACCAGACAGCACGGAGATGATGCGTCTGAGGAGAAGGCTGCTCGGCAGATGAAGAAATGTGAACAGAGCACTTCTGCCACCTTGGGCGTGCGTGTGTGTGGGATGCAGGTAGGGATCCCCCAGGCTGCAGGTGCTGGACATTCCTTTTTGCAGCCTCATTAAACCTCCCAGTTAGCATTTTCTGCTGAGCGCTGAATTTGAATCTCCCGCTGCAGGTAGGTACACCGGCATTCACGCTATTTTTGTCTTCCTTTCTAAGCCTATAACAAAGGAACCTGCTTCTCCTGAGATGGCTTGCTTTGTCCACAGACAATTAGGGGATTGTCTAATAAAATTGTTTTGTGGCTCAGTGTTCAGCCAGAATCATGATGCCTGGGGAGGGAATTGCCTAAGATTTCCTTCTGTACTGCACTGAGAGTTAAAAAGTTGCTCTGCTGTGGCTTAACCCTGTGCACAAGGGTTTGTTGCTGTTGCTGTTGTGCAACGGTTGCTCCCTTCCCCACCCACAGAAGGACCTTGTAACCCAGATCTCTGCCCACAAACTCTGAAACAATGAGGGCTTCATGTTAATCACGTGCCACATAATGGCAATAGGTGTTGGCAGCTCCCACTGACAGAGGATTGTCCGAGTTGGCCTAAGACTTTGCTGTTTAACCCTTGGGGTCAGCTGTGCCGTGCCCATGTGTGGGGCACTGGGACTGATGAGCTGCCTTTTGGGTGTCCTGGGAGAGGATTGGTGCTCGGGCACCCTGACTGCGCCCATGGGATGCACCCACGAGCTGCTTTGGGATTCGGGGAACAGGCAGAGCTGTGTCCTGCTCCCTCTCCATCATGGTGGGGACAGAATAAGTTCTTTCAGCCCTGACAGTGCAGGATAGCTCAGGGTTCTGTGTGTGGCCTTAGCCTGTTGCACCCACTTGATGTGCCTTTCCTCTGGTGTTCCAGGTCTATCAGCTGGACACAGGGCATTACTTATGCAGGAATAAGTACTATGGACGCGGTCTTTCCATCGAAGGCTTCCGCAATGCCCTCTACCAGTATCTCCACAACGGCATCGAGCTGCGCAAGGACCTCTTTGAGCCTGTCCTTGCCAAGCTGCGGAGCCTGAAGGCGGTTTTGGAGAGACAGGCCTCCTACCGCTTCTACTCCAGCTCCCTCCTCATCATTTACGACGGGAAGGACAGCCGGGCGGGGACGTTCGTGGAGCGCCGGCCGGAGATGCGCCTGAAGCGGGTGGACGGCTCTGTCCCCGAGAGCCTCCAGGACGGCGGCAGCACCGAGCCTGGCTCCTCGGCACAGCCCAAGGTGGACGTGCGGATGATTGACTTTGCACACAGCACCTTCAAAGGCTTTCGCGACGACCCCACTGTGCACGACGGGCCCGACATGGGCTATGTGTTCGGGCTGGAAAGCCTCATCAACATCATGGAACAGATGCGTGAGGAAAACCAGTAGCTCTGGGCTATGGCCTCTTATTCTTGTCCTGGTGGCAGGAGGAGACAAGACCACTTACTACCACAGGAAAAACACAACTTTGGTTTTAAACAACTGTATCGCTCTGTTGTTTTTAAATGTACTTGGATAGGAGAGCCGAGGGAGGCAGGATGGAAGAGCTCCTCGTGCTGACCAGACGGTTCCGGCCGTGCTAGCTCTGCCTTCTGGAGGAGGCTCTGTAGATGCCTGCTGGGTGTCGGGTGTCCTGGTTCTTCGCTCTTTGCGTGTGCATTTTGGAGGGAGGACCTGGATATAGGGATGAGAAAGCAGGGCTGGAGCTCTGGCGTGAGGAGCCTCCTGCCTTGGGAGCTCTCGGGAGAGCCTTCCCTTCAAAATTCTCCGGAGCTGTTTGGAAAGGATGCTCCACTAACGGTTGGCAGCGTCCCTGTGGCCGCCAGTGAGCAGCTCAGGTGCTGGTCCCTGTGTTGGGTGTTGCTGGCTCTGCCCTGGGTTTTGCTGACGGGGCTTTGCTTTTGATGCTGCCTTTTTCTGCTGTTTGGGCACTGTGAGTAGCCACCCCAGACACGGAAATGAAATGACCAAATGCAACCCCTGGCAGAGCTGCGGCTGGGAGGGAACACCTGGAGCTGTGCTCGAGCCCGGGGCCTGCTCCCTCTCTAATCATGACACAGGCAGGCACGGGGCTCTGAGGGAGTGACTCTGCCCTGGATCACTGACCAAGCAAGCACTCAGCTCGTGAGCTAGCAATAGTATCTGTAGCAGTTAAGATGACCCCAGCTGTGCAGCGGGGCGTTTCGGACCATTTCAACCCTTCCCCTCCTATAATGTTTGTCCCACAGGCCGTACTGAGTCTGTCCCTCCAGCACAAAGCTGCCTTCTGCTCCCAGGCCCTGCCCTCCCCCCGGGCCTGGGGGTGGGTGGTGGAAGGGAAGGCTGAGGGTTAGGGCTGACCCCCTTCTCCTCCCTGAGGATCTCCGGGGGCCAGGTGAGGGGGGACCTGGCTGAGCGGCGAGTGCCACTGCCTGCCTGTTTAGCTTTGCTTCACGGAGTCAGTCTGTCCCAAAATAAATGTCCCTTGGCCTCCCTTGAGGCATTAACATTTGATACTGTGGCCTGGTGGTACCAGACTGGACCCTGCTCCACATCACCCCCTGTTTCTGTGTTGGGGCCCCTGGATGCTCCCTCCTGCTCTCACTGACTTGTTCCATGGCGTTACCATTACCCTGGCTCCTTGCCAGGCCAGGGTCGGGTTTGGGTTGTTTTTTTTAATTCCTTCAGGAAAGCTTGTTTGGGAATACTCGCATGTCGCATGTGTGCCGACTCCATGTGCGCGCAGGTCTCTCGGAAAGCACAGGTTCTCGGCCAGCTGCAGGCACAGGTCTGTGCCACTGGGGGGGAAGGGGACAGGGGCTGGGCCAGCTCTCTCTGCCTGTTCACTTGTCCAAGCCATCGCTCCCCTCCCGCCCTCGGGACAAGGACCTCTATCCCTGGCACACTGCCCTGTGCTGGGTTACTTCATCGCTCCTGTGGGTCGCTGCCTTGCCAGGACTCACAGGATTTTTCAGGGAGCAGGTTTGCAGGAGGTTCCGGGGTCGGGTGAGGGGCTAAGTGTAGCCAGCAGGTGCCCCAGGTGCCCCCAACAGCCCTGTTACCCCCCTGGCCCTGCCCCAGCGTGGCCTATCGCTGCCCCCCTCTGCATGTCCTTGTCCCCTGCGGGCTGTGCTCGGGCAGGCCAGGCCCCACCTCCTGGGGAGCCCCTTGGTGTCCCCTCGTGCCCACTCCCGCCGTTCCCACCTCACCGGCCGTGACAGACCTGCCACACTGCTGGTGCTCCGCGGGAGCCGCTTCCCCCCCACTTCGGACCACCGCGGTGGGACTCCACAGCTTGTACATAGCCTTGGCCCCATTTGTTTTTACATGAATAACCACCCTGTTTGTGCTTCACCAGAGAACCAAAAACCATTAAAGGAACTGTTTTTGTCCGCGGTGTGCCGTGCCTGCCTCTGCCGCGTCTGAGCGCGGGGAAGGGGGGGGGTTGGTGTTAAACGTCACCGCCCGGAGCGGGG